CCCATATTATTTTTTTTTTTCGGGAACGGCAGAGGAACTATTATATAACACAAACCGAACAAAGTTCGAGTACAAGGTTCAACAAACAAACTACAAACAAACCATAAAAATGAGAAGCACAGAACAATGTGGCCTAAAACCTCAACAAGCTAAATCCGGGAATGGATGACCAAACCAAAAATAAAATCAAAGAGTTAGACTTCCTACAACTGCAATGAAGCCTAGCAAGAAGCCTATCTCAACTAAAAAAGAAAAAAAACTAAGAAGAAGAGAAGAAAGCACTCCAGTCCAACAGAGCTACTTGAATCAATCTGAATTCTGGCATGAGGGTCTTTTGAAAAATCCATATGTTCCAGACTTCCAAAGCCACCAAAGAATGTATGTTGACAGTTGAATCCTAGCTTCGGCCACTTCAGAGTGATCTAGTGAACAAACCTGATACCACCATGTTTTGAAAGCCTGAGGGCCCATGTTATTGACATTGAAGATAATATAGTGCGACATTTTCTCACACATAAGATTATATTATAGATTCCTTGTATAATATAAATAAAGTTCATAACCGAGATAATAATGAACAAATCAATAGATATGGTTATAGTATAATTTGAGATAGTTTATCTTAATTATTCAATTATACTAGTGAACTTTGTGTATACTGAATTGGACCCTGGGTGAAAAAGTTATTTTATACTAACCCTGTAAATAAACTTGACCTCGCGATATTGCCCATACTCTTACGTTGTCTGATGATAATGAATAATTGTATTTAATATTTATTTCTTTGATTCATAAAAGAGTGAGACTTATTCCACTAAGTTAATAACTACTGAGTTGAAAATATTATTATTTTCATGATGCATTGTTGATTATATTCGGTTACTGTGTTCTGGTAAGCTAGGGTGATGACGTCCCCGAAATAAGCTCAAAGGGATTATTATGCTTAACCCTGCAGGTTAATTAAGTTCTGACATAATAATAATAATAATAATAATAATAATAATAATAATAATAATAATAATAATAATAATAATAATAATAATATTGAGTGGTACTAGTATCGAAAAAAGAACTTACTAAATTAAAATGTCAGTATCGAAAAAACGCGACGTAGTATTACATATTTAGCGTTTTCCCGAAAAGGTTACGCGAAATGCTAAAATATCACGTTTTTACACTATTTTACGCAATTTTGCGCTATTTCACGCTATTTTTGAGTTATATTTCTGCAACGATATTTAAATAATAAAATATTAAAAAACTTTTATTTTTTAGGGATTGGAGTCATATTTTCAAATGACAACTAAAAACTAAAACTTTTGATAATGATTCAAATTAAAAGTTTGAAAATGCAAAGTTTTTAATTGAATAGTGCAATATTTATAGTCTAGTTCTATTATGTTATTTTATTTATCAATATTTTACACTTAAATTAAAGAACGAAAAGCTCAGATCTAATAGTTAGAATTAAGTTATAGTTAAATTAAAAAATAATAAATTAAAATGTGCATACTTTTGTTGTTTATTTTTACTCTTAGTATATCAACTTTATTAAATAAATATTTATATTAAAATTTCACATTAAACATTTGTGAGAAATAGTTTTTAAATGTTATTTTTTTTATCCATTCAAATATTATGAAAATTTTTAGAATCAACCATTCTGTTTTATTATATGCAAATTATATATATATATAGGGTCACGCTCCGGTGAGAATGACTCTTAATGCGAGAAATAAAAATACATCGTAGCCATTCGATCGGATGATCTAATGGGTAAAAAGAAACCAAAATTCTACATCCAATAAGGGCAATGTAGTAATTGGCAAGACAAAAAATAGTGGGACCCATGCACACATCAACCCCTCTCTCTCTCATCAATTTTGTCTCTCTCTCACACACACACACACACACTGACACCACACACACACCCCGTCACACACACAGTCACGCACACATCAGCACACACACACCCACATCAGCACAAAACACACACAAAACACACGCAACACACACGCACACACACGCACACCACACACAAAACACATTGACACACTGTCACACACACACACTGATACATAAACACACACACGTAGAGACAGTAATGCTCCGCCGCCCTCCGCTGCCGTTACAGGCCGATGCTCGTCGCCACTGTGTTTCGCCGAGTCCGCCGCGGCCGTTATCTGCAAAGCCAGCCGCTCCGCCGCCGCCGCCGTACAAGCTCTGCAACACAACAGCAGTCGTCGGAGATCGCCGTGGACCTCCACCAAGATCCGTCATCTTCACTCTCGTGGACCGCCGTGGACCTCCACCAAGATCCGCCATTTTAACTCGCGGTGGCGTGGCGTGGCCATCAGAGCTCGCGGTGGTGTGGCGGCGCGGCCGTTGTCGACGGTGACAACTGGAGGCCAAGGAGACGGGTGGCGGGCTGCCAACATTTAATTATATATTGCATTTTTTTTCTTGGGTTGTGTTTTTGAGAATTAGGTAAAGTTGAGGGATCTATTTGCAATTTCATATATTTGATTGTTTTTCAATTTAACCCATGGGCCATTATGTAATTTATAAAAGTTATATAAGAAAACTGTTATCTTTTAAATTGTTTTATACATATATTTATAAAATGCTAAATAAACATAATAACATATATAATACATTATTTGCAACCAAAAAATACTAAAAATGCATTAAACAAATATATTAAAATATTGAATATATTTTTATAATATAATTAATAAATTATTTCAATATTTTCAATAATAATTTCAAATTAGAAATTCACGGTTTTATTGACTTTATTTATTTATTTATTTTGAATTAGATAGTGTTAAGGGACAATTATGTTAGTGTGATCATATAAAATAGTGCACTTTATATATTAACATGTTGCACCTTATAATTTAATGCGTTGCACTTTATAAAACATCACGTTGCACTTTATCATCACAATCCACAATTAATGTCCGCAACTCTTGTCGAAATACCAAACAACAAAAAAATCTAAAAAACGGATACACATAACACGTTAACATCGCTCAAATCATTTATACGCCCAAAACACAAATATGCTAGCGTACCATAATTATGTTAGCTCACTCATCAACTCACTGCATTTTATAAAACAACATGTTGCACTTTACAACACAACACTATGCACTTTATCACAACTATCAGATTGCACATTATAAATCGAATCGGCCGGACTAAAAAATTTTCAACTTGAAATAACATAAAATAATAAATAAAATTATTAACATATTAAATGTAATTTTAACATAAATAACAAATTATTTCAAGTATTTAGGATAATTTAATTAACCAAACCGAATAAATCAATTAATTACGTTCATTTTCCGTTTGACATGGGACACGAGTTCAGTTGGTTCAATCGCACAATACAGACAGGCTTTATCACCACAATCCACAATTAATATCAATAGTTGCCACCAAAATATTACTCAATATAAATTTATAAAACGAATCTACGTATTTTAATATCTATCACACCAAAATACAAAGGCATGCTAACGTATCAAAATGTCATTACTGCACCATATATATCAATATGTTGCACTTTATACAACAGTACATTGCACCTTATAACAAAACATGTTGCACCTTAAAAACGACAAGCTACATCTACCAAAATTGCAGTAACTATTATAATCGGCCGAATAATATTTGTTGGATAAAGGTCGGATTTTTATTTTAAAAATAATAAACAAAATAACCGATCATGTTGAACTATATGGAAAATATTATCGAATTTTTTTGTTTATATTTTTTTATGAAAATTAATAATATTTTTATATCTATATTTTTATGTATTTCGATTGCACGTTATGGTTATACGGGTTGCACTTAAATGCTTAACAGATTGCACAAAATCGAACAAGATCAACGAATAAAAATTCATTACGAAATTTTATATTTTGGTCCAATTATTATTATTATTATTTCATATATCGGTTATTTCGGTATGATTTATTTTTATTTTTTTTTCAAATAACCAAAATAAAAACAAGCTATATTAAAAATAATAATTTTTATGTTCTTTTATTTAGGTAACCGACATAATCGAACGGCCGAACTACATAAAAAATACTATTTTTTTTTTGTTATTGTATTTTTATGTATATTTATTTCATTAAAAACTTTATTTGAGAACTTTTAAATGTGTAGGAATCGAGAAAACTACGATTTCGTAAAAACATGGCTTTCTTTTTTAACGTGTACATTCTCACATAATAATGTGCAATTTATGTATCCTTATTGCGCATTAATTAGACTTTTATTATATTACAGATTGGCCTCATGTGATAAATTGAAATAAAAGAAACTTAACTAAATTGCAATTAAGCCCCTGCAATATATCTAATTTCCTAAGAATAACCCCACATCTCCAAAACGCAATTTCAACAGGCCCCCCGTCCACCTTTGCCGGAGCTCAGCCTAATGTTCCAGTCACCGTCAATATGGTCACCGCCGCCCTCTTCATCGCCCAATACGTAATGCCGCCACAGTTCGCCGCTAGAACCTCGAAAACTCNTCAATCTGCACAAAAAAAAAAAACAAAAAACAAAAAACAAAAAACAAAAATCGGCCATTTTATCCTCAGATATCGTCGCCGCCTTTTTGTGGGGTACGGTGGTGGCGACACGGCTACGGGAGCAGTGATAAACGGCGCTGAAGGTTCGCCGTATGGTGTCACCAGAAGTGACTACCTTTTTCTGGCTGTCGGATCTAAGTATCGAGGTCGACGATTAAAAAGAATATACAAGACGACAGCGACGCGGTGGAGGCATGGCGGCAGCCAACGATACACGACCGTTGGGTGAGGACGACCACACAGTCGCCGGCGAGGTCGACCACACAGGCTACTTGCCGAACCGGAATCTAAAAGCTCTCGACATCGACGACATCGGGCTGGTGTCGGTGGCGATGCTTGCGGCGGCGACGCGGTTGACGTCCGGCGGCAGCGGCGTGGTTGATGGCGGCGGCTCCATCCAGATTGTGTGTGTATGTGTGAGTTTGATGTGTGAGATCGACGGCGGGGTTGTGTTGTGTGTGTTTAGGTGAGAGAGAGATGGGTAGGTTAGTGGTGTTAGTGGTAGGGTCCACTTGTAGTGCATAATATCTTATTTACCCCCACTTAGTGGTCTAATTTTTATAATTGTCCATGTTGTGCTCAATTATTTGCGAAAATGCCACTCATATTTGACTGTGATTTATTAAGTTTGACTTAATCATGTCCAGTAATTTGATTGATCCAATGATCCAGACTCATTCTCTTTTCTCGCATTAAGAGTCATTCTCATATCATCCTTTCTCTCTCTCTCTCTCTCTCTGTATATATATATATATATATATAATATTCTTATAAAAATAATTTGTATGCCCAAATAACTTACGCAACACGCAATGTTATTTACGTTACGCAGTATAAAGACCAAAACGTGACACATTAAGTTATACGCGTTTTAAAACACTGTTCGAAATGTATACTTATTATTAGAAAGGCACAACTGTGGCTTTCTAATCATGTAATCACCATTGCCAAAATTAAAAATCACTCAAATCTATCTTTTCCAGATTCCGTTATGAGTAATTCTTGCAACCTCTCATCTCAGGTAACAATATTCAAATGCATGAGTTGGTGTACCCACAAATGTAATTAACAGTAAAAGTGACCCCTTATCACCAACCAAAAAAATATATATAAAGAAATAGTGAACTCTAAGAAATAATCATTCGTGTGTTCAGTGCTTTGATTATACCAAATATTAAGTCCAACCACATATAAAGACCATAATTACTGCAGCTCATAGGAGCGCGTTNTATCATCCAACATTAATGAGAAAAGGCTATGGATAATTAACTTGTAAAACTGGGAAGAAAAGGCTGAAAACTAACTATTGTGATATTGGGGATTTTTTTGGTGAAAACATTTTACCCAACAACAAAAGAAACCGCGTCTGGAAAAAAAAAATGTATATACCAATATTGTGAAAACTAGGAAGGTCTTCGAGAAGCCAAAATGCGTTTGTTAATACTAGATGGGATAAATTTATCCATGTTTTGATCGTAAACTACTGCATAGCCGTGCTATGTACCGAAAAATAATATTAAATAATAATTATAAATTAAAAATACAGGTAAATAGCATTAAATAATAATAATAAATTAAATATTTAAGATTAAAATGTGATATAATTTACGTATATCGGTTTGTTGTACAATATAAATTTATCATGTACATAAGAATACAAAACATGTATGTTTAAGGTCTTAAAAATACCTAAAATAACATATGTAAAGATATCTAAAATGTAAAGATACCTAAAATAACATATGTGAAAGGGTTTGTGACTCCTACTAGGGGACTGAGACAGGGGGATTAAACTGACTAAAGAGAGACCTATGCTATCTCACCTGCTCTTTGCAGATGATGCCTTAGTATTCTGTAAGGCTGATGTCAAACATGCTATGTTGCTTCTTGAGATCCTGGAAAAATACAAATCTTTTACTGGGCAGAAAGTCAATCTGACCAAATCATCAATATTTATCAGCTCCAACTGTAGTGATGCACTGAAAACTCAGATCTGCTCTGTCCTCAGGGGTGTGGTTTTTAAAAGATCCTCAAAGTACCTAGGGTTGCCATTGGGTATTGGAGCTTCTAAGAAAGATACTTTTCAATTTGTGGTTGCTGCAGTTAAGGACAGGATTGAAAGTTGGAAGAACAATTTTCTCTCAACAGCTGGGAAAGAAGTCCTTGTGAAATCAGTGTTAAATGCATTACCTATATTTGTGATGTCCTGCTTTGTGCTGCCTCAGAGCTTGTGTAAGGAAATTTGCCAACTAGTGGCTAGATTCTGGTGGAGTAAGGGTGATGGTCAACATTCTGGGATGCATTGGATGGCTTGGGACAAACTGTCTATACCAAAGAAGGAAGGGGGAATTGGTTTTCAGGATATCCGAATTTTCAACAAGGCCCTTATCCTCAAACAGCTGTGGAGAGTCATAGCACAGCCTGACCTTCTTGTGAGTAAAGTGCTGAAAAACAAGTATTTCCCCACCACTTCTATTTTTGACTGCAGTAAGAGGAGTGGAGCTTCCTGGCTGTGGAACTCCTGGGCCACCTTCATTCCCATACTGAAGTCTCACTTAAGCATTCTAATTAAAAATGGAGTGAATACAAAGCTCAATGACCACAACTGGATTCCAGGAATTCCAGATGGCAAACCAAAGATGAGGGTGCAGATTGAAGGACACAACTTCTGTGTGAAGGATCTCTTAGTAGCTGGAGGATGTGAATGGGATGAAGT